CCCCCCCCCCCCCCCCCCCCCCCCCCCCAAATAAATTCCCCAAATAAATCCGTCTCTGTCCCTGTGCATATCACCCTCCCTGTCCCTGTCTCTCCTTCTCCCCTATATCTCCTGCATGCAGCTCGTCGTTGTATAGTATCTCCTGGTACTCTAGGAGTTCAAAGATTTGGAGTCCAAAAATCTCCACCTCGTCTTCTTTGGTTATTTCGAAATGGTGATAAATATCATGATGGTATTCCATTTTTTCTTAAACAACATATTAAATCATTAGATGCACTCTATCAAGAATTAACTAAGGTACGTAAGTACTAGTACTAGTAGTAGTAGTACTAGTAGTAGTAGTAGTAGTAGTAGTAGTAGTAGTAGTAGCAAGTGCAGCAGCAACAGCAGCACCAAGTGCAGCAACAAGTGCAGCAGCAACAGCAGCAGCAAGTGCAGAGCAGCAAGTGCAGAGCAGCAACAGCAGCAGCAAGTGCAGCAGCAAGTGCAGCAACAGTAGCAAGTGCAACAACAGTAGCAAGTGCAGTAACAGTAGCAAGTGCAGCAACAGTTGGAGGAGTACTAGTTGTATTCGTAAGAAGGAGGAGGAGGAGTATATGTTGCACCAGTAATATAGGATAGAGTAGCAGGAACAGAAGAAGAAGAAGGAGTAGGAAGGAATTGTTTCTTGTTGTTTCTCATACTCCTACTCCTGCTGCTGCTGTTGCTGCTGTTGCTGCTGCTGCTGCAGGTAATAACACCAATAGCTGGGCCTGTTCGTCGCCTTTATGATCAAAATCTTCGTCTTGTTGTTGACTTAGCGGACATCGTTGATGGCGCCAAATACTTATGTACATCAGGTACTTATTTATTTATTTATTTATTTATTTATTTATTTATTTAATTTGTTTATTTACTTGTTTGTCCTTGTTGTCTCTTATTTGGGTTGCTGGTCCTTGCTGGGTGCTCACTCTATTCTCCCTGGCAACAGCTAGCTAGCTAGCTAGCTAGCTAGCTAACCACCACTTGAGCTATTATCCTTTGTTGTATGACATACCTATTTACTTGCTGCTGCTGTTGCTGTTGCTGCTGCTGCTGCTGTTGTGCTGCAGGAGAGCCTCCGGCTTGTGCAGAACGTCTGCAGAAGTTTCTTAGTGAATGGGTTGTACAGAAACCCCAAACTCGAGTATGGAGCGAATTCTTCGTCATCTAGCTAGCTAGCTAGCTAGCTAGCTAGCTAGATGACTGGGTGGCTAGCTGGCTTACGGGCTAGCTAGCTACCCTTACTCACTGGCTACATAACTGGCTAGCGCGGTAATTCTTTGTTTAGCGTGCTGAATGGTAAGCTAGCCGACGGATTGGCTAGCTAGCTAGCTAGCTAGCTAGCTAGCTGGCCTGTCAAGCAGTTTTAGCTCACCACATGAGGAGTATTATGAAGGGATTGAGGCAATAAAGGAGTTTTCTTAAGCTGCAGATACACCCCAATTACTATTAGTACTCCTTCCTCCTTCTCCTCTTAACTCCCTACAGCCTGCAGCGCTCCTTCCTTTTTCTTTTTCTTTTTTTTGCCTCATTTACAACTCTCTCTCTTCCTATCAACTCCTCACAACCCTATACAAATCCTCAGCTCTGCCTCTCCTATACATGCACATATATATATAATAAGACCTAATTATATTTGTATAAGAAAGGAAAAGAGGGAAAAGAAGTATACAACTTACTTAATCATAAGAGGAAGATAAATAAAAGTATTATTAGTTGGAGGTTTTGTTATACACTTAGTAGTTATAGTAGGTGTTAGGTATAAAGGTACAAAAAATTTGAGTAAATGACCAGCAAAACAACTCCTGTAAACATTTATGCAAACATAAATAAATAAATAAAAATAAATAAATAAATACAAATGTAAATATATCAATAAATGCAATGGGGCGGGATATTTTTATTCTATTTGTATATTCATGTTTTAGGTGTATATTCAACTTTTAGGTGTATGCTGAGGTCTTTCTTATATAAAAAGAAGCTAATTGAATAATATATAATATATATAAAAAAGAGGAAATAAAGAAACAAATAAAGTAAAGAATAAATAATAAATAAAAAATTGAATTAAATTCATGTTTCCACCAAAAATTAGGGTTTAGGGTTTTATACACAAGTGCAGGTGTGTGTTTATATAACCAGCTAGGGGGGGAGTCTGCTTATACAAATAATATAATATAATATAATATATATACCTACATATCCCTATATTATATATAATAAGTAATATATGTATACAGGGGCCCCCCTGTGTGCCCCTTCCTGCACTGGGGGCCCCTATAAGGCAGGCAAGGGCACTTGTGTCATAAGGGAAAGGACGTCTTCTTCCTTGTGCCTCTATTAAACAGCAAAAGCAGCACCTAGTGGTGATTTATTAGTCAATCTGAGGTGTATACGCAGCTAGGGTACTAGTAAGGTGTCTCTCTCCCTATATAAGGTGTCTTTTTCCTGCTGCTGCTGCTGCTGCTATCTGTGTCTTGCCACCTAAACCCGCAGAAAGAAGTGCAGGGGGCCCCCTATAGGTACGTATCCTTGAAGTCAGGGGCCCCCCAGCGGGCCCCCCTAGAGCATAGAGCAGAGGGGGCCCCCCAGGGGGCCCCCCTCTGCTCTATGCTCCAGGGAGCACATAGGCAGCAAGGGTTCAAGTTAATACTTGCTGCTGCTGCTAGTTAAGCTTCGTTGCATGCCTAAAGGAGATTCAATAAGTTATATATAAATAAAATAGATAAATAGAGTTGTTGGTGTGTTATTGAGTAGGAAAGAGGGTAAATAACCTTCCTTGGTACAGCAGCAGCAGCAGCAGGAGGCGTTGCAGCAGAAGCAGCAGTAGCAGCAGCACCTGCTGCTGCAGGCATTATAAGGGGCTGTGCAGTTGACTATCTTAGAGACTATTCATCTTTTTTTTCTGTTTTGTTTGTGTTGCTCCTTACTGCCTCCTCTGTTTCATTGGGTCGCCTTAGTAGTAAGTAGCACGTACCGCTGCAACGGCGGCACAGGCAGCAGCAGCAGCAGCAACAGCAGCAGCAGCAGCAGCACTGGCAACAGCAGCAGCAGCAGAAGAATGAACTCCACTCGGTATTTATTTTTGACTTTTATATTCAACTGGCTATTCAAGGGCCTCTACGAGGGCCCCTCTTGACTAAAGACCTACCTAGGGGCCCCAGTCCTCTCAGGGGGGCCCCACGGTACCAACTGGAGCAGCCGACGCAGCAGCAGCAGTAGCAGCAGCAGCATTTGCATCTGCTCATCTTGATGCTGCAGCAAGACACCGGCAACAGCTCACTCAACAGGGCTGCCTTCTCCAGCATCACTCTCTCGAGCTGCAGCAGTAGCTGCTGCACCCGCGGTTGCAGCAGCAGCAGCAACAACAGCAGCAGCAACAACAGTAGGCGTAGGACCAGTTGCAGCAAGCGCAGCGCCAGCTGCAGCAGCAGCAAGTGCACTGTCCGCTGCAGCAGCAGCAGCTGTGGGGTCCCTACCCTGGAACAACTGTCAGTACAGCAGTAACAGCAGCCGCAGCCGCAGCAGCAGCAGCAGCAGCAAAAGAGCAACAAGCAGTAGCAGCCCCAGCCGCAACAGCAGAAGCAGCAGGAGCAGCAAAAAGCAGTAGCCGCCACAGCTGCAGCACTAGAAGCAGCAGCAGCAGCAGCAACAACAGCAACAAGGAGACACTGTCTCCCCCTCTTCTTACCGAAGGTTTGCTGCCCCTCTTTCTCTTACTCTTTTAATTCTTTAATTCTTTTTTGTCTCTGTGCTCGCTACATTTGCTGCTGCTGTTATTGCTTCTGCTGCTGCTGCTGCTGCTGCTGCTGCTGCTGCTCCTGCGTTGAGTTATATAAATTGTCCCTTTTTATCCCTCTCCCTGCCTGTGCTTTATTTGTCTCTTTTTATGTCTATATACCTATCTTGTCTCTTGCCGTATATTTGCTGCTGTTGTTGCTGCTGCTGCTGCTGTTGTTGCTGCTGCTGTTCAGATGCAACGGGAAGATCTCCCCGACAGGGAAAAGATATTAAGGAGAGGGAACATGCATGCAGATCGTGTAGAGGCGGAAGCAGCAGAGGAAGCAGCAGCATTTCAGCGTCGGCAGCAGCAGCTGCTGCAGCAGCAGCAGCAGCGGCAAAAATTTAATTCAGCCTTAGCCAAGCGCCTATTTACAGTATTTAGTGCAGATGCTACTTGTCCAGGGGGACCAGCAGCAGCAGCAGATGGGTATGGGGGCAGCACGAGTGCTGCTGCGGGTTCTGCTGCTGCAGCAGATGCTGCAGCACCTGAAGTAGATGCTGCTGCAGAGGCAGCAGCAGCAGCAGCAATCACAGCAGCAAACACCTGTCTACAATCTCGTGCTGCTTTAGGGGCTTTATGGCATAAACATCATTTTCCCCGTTTGTCTGCGCTGCAGAGGCAGCTGCGGCATGCACGTCGTGAAGCAGCAGCAGCAGCAGCAGCAGCAGCAGCAGGAGTAGCAGCAGGCGTCCCTGTGCAGGGACCTACATCATCTGCGCGTGTATCAACAGGATCTACATCAGCGGTATCATATTGTGCTGCTGCAACTAGATCAACTCCATCAACAGCAGCAGCAACTGCAGCAGCAACAGCAGCAGCAGCTGCAGCAGCAGCAGCAGCAGACAGCATGCAGCTGCAGCAGACACTACGACTGTCTCTTAAATATCTTAACTGTCTCTATTTGTCTCTTTATGGCGAATTTATTTTTAGATCATCGCAGCAAGCATTAAAGGAGGCCAAGCAGCTACGAGCAGCAGGTTATTATGGATCTGCAGCACCTGCTGTTGGTGCTGCTGCTGCTGCTGCTGCTGCTGTTGCTGCTTCTGCAGCAGCAGCATCACAGCAACCCGCACAGTCCTCCCCAGATACACAAGAAGACGCAACATCAGAGCATCCAGATGTAGCTGCATCAGCAGCAGCTGCTGCTGCTGTTGCAGCTGCTTGTGCTGCTCGAGCTGGAGATGCTGCATCAGCAGCACCAACAGCAGCAGCAGCAGCAGGCAGTGTATGGGGTGCAGCAGAAGAATCCCTGCTGCAGGCAGATGCTGCTCTTGCTGCATGCGAAGGAGACACTCCTCTTTCCCGCTGCTGTCGCCTCTGCTGCCGTCATATACTCGCTCAGATCAAAGTTATCTTAGCAGACCTTTCAGGCTACAGGTGAGCAGCAGCAGCAGCAGCAGCAGCAGCAGCAGCAGGAGCAGCAGCAGCAGCAGTAGTAGTAGCAGTAGTGGTAGTAGTAGCAATAGTAGTAGCAATAGTAGTAGTAGCAGCAGCAACAGTATATAATAACTTGAGCAGCAACTGCAGCAACAGTAGCAGCAGCTGTTGGCATATACCATCACTGGAACTAGCTGCTGCTGCTGCTGCTGCTGCTGCAGGGCGCTTTTGGAGGAAGACGTCACATGGAGTAGGGAGGAGGAGCAGCAGCTGCAGCGTTTGCAGCACCAAATGTTGTTGCTGCTGCGTGGACAGCAGCAACAGGCGAGTATAGCACAGCCGCTGCAGCATAGCTGCCTGCTGTACGCTGATGCACTGCGGCTGTTTCCTTTAGATGCTGCATGCAGCGGGCAGCTGCATGCAACTTATTTTAGGATGTGGGGTGTGCTGCACCGTCAGCTGCAGCAGCAAGTGCAGCAGCACCTGCAGCAGCTGCAGCAGGTGCAGCAGATGCAACAGCTGCCTCTATGGAGGAGAGAGCTGACACCAGAGGTTGCTGCCAGCTATACCGTGCTCGATGCTGCTGCTGCAGCCTTTGCTGCAGCAGCTATCTACTGGATCTTGCGTTCCGCCGTCAGGTGAGCCCAGCTGCTGCTGCTACTGCTGCTGCTGTTGCTGCTCCTAGTACTGCTGCTGGTTGGGGAGCTCCTGTGCCGAAAAAAAATTACCTGCTGCTGTTCGTGTTGCTGCTGCTGCTTTTCAGCCCGTTTGCTGCAGGCAGCCAAGACGAGGTGACTCTCCTGCTGCAGCGGCTGAGCTCTGTAGAGATTGGACCTCCTGCACCGCAGCAGCAGCAGCAACAGCAGCAACAACAGTCGCCGCATCAGAAGCAACTACTGGCTACCATTATGAGGCGGTCGAGCGGGGTCCAACAGAAGCGGCAGCTGCAGCAGCAACAGCAGCAGCTGCTGCAGCAGCAGCATTTGCAGATGCAGCAGTGGAGTGTGCTGCTGCGGGAGTTCTCTCGTCTTCAGCTGTCTGTACACCTCTCTGTTGATGTTGACGATCTTCCTGCTGCTGCTGCTGCTTTTAAGGCAGATTTTGCTGCGCTGCTTGGCAGGAGAGCAGTGCTACCAGTTGAGGCCCCCTTGCTGCTGCTGCTGCTGCTTGCTGCTGCTACTGGCTACCTCAAGGCATCAGACGCAGTAGTAAAGCTGCAGCGCTCAACAGAAGCTGTGCTGCACTCCGTCCGGAGGCTGCGGCAGCAGCAGCGGGAAGAGCAGGAGCAGCAGGAGCAAAGTAGACAGCAGCACCAAAGGAAGCAGGTTCAGCAGCTGCAGCAGATCAGGAATCATGCGAAACTGTGGGAGCTGCAACAGCAGCAGCAGCAGCAGCAGCGTGACCTCCTAAAAGAGCAGCAGCAACAAAGTGCTGCAGCAAATGAACAGTGGGATAATCTCACTTGTGAGCTTTATGATCGCGTCACTGACAGCTTGCTGCAGATGGTGCAGCAGCAGCAGCAACAAGAGGAGGAGCAGCAGCGGAAGCAGCAGCTGCAGCCAGAGCTGGTGCGGTTGCGCGAGCTGCAGCACGGGACACCCCAAATGCAGGCAGCATTAGAGCTCTGCTGCAGCATCGCTGCAGCATTAGCAGTAGCAGCACGCAACGCGCTTCTGCCCTTAAAGGCCGCAGCAGAAGCAGCAGGTCCTGCTGCTGATGTGTCTTGTAGTTCCGATGACATTGAATCGCCAATCTGTGACAGCAGCAGCAGCAGCAGCAGCAGCAGCAGGAAGAGTGTGTGGGGTCGGTGGCTAAGTGGAGACACCGAGCCTGCAGCCATTGCCTCTATCTCCGCGTTGCTGTCTCCTCTCCATCTCTTCTTATTGCTGCTAGAGTCCTTTCCCCGTAAGCAAATTTGCTGCTGCTGTTGCTGCTGCTGCCGTTGCTGCTGCCTTTGTGCTTTGTTTCAGCAGGGGTCCTTTTGTTGCTGCTGCTGCTGCTGCACACTGCCCGCATCTATTCCTATTGCTGCTGCTGCATGCAGGCTTGCAGCGCGTCAAGAGCAACTGTATATCTGAGCTGCGAGCAGAGGTTGCTGCTTTGATGCCGCTTCTGCTGGACTGCCGCGTCGTGTTTACTGCTGCAGCTGCTGTCGAGCAGCAGCAGCAGGAAGAGGAGGGGGAAGACGAGGAACCTGCAGAGAACCAGCAGCAGCAGCCGCTAAACCGCCGCCGCCGCCGCCGCTGGCGGCAGCAACAACGGCAAAAGAAGGAACAGCAGCAGCAGCAGCAGCAACAGAGGCAGGAAGAAATGATGTGTAAAGACAGCGAAGAGCTAGCGCAGCTGCAGGCAGCACTACAGGTGTCTCTACCGGAGGATTGTCTCCTTACGGGTCTCCTCAAGCTGCCGTTGGCTTTCCCGCGGAAATCTTTGCTGCTGGTGCAGCAGGAGGAGCAGCAGCAGGAGCAGCAGGAGCAGGAACAGAAGGACGAAGATCATAAGAGAACGGAGGGGCATATGTATGGTGCTCCGTTAGCAGCAGCAGGAGAAGGCTTATCGCATCCCGGTTGTCCTTCAGCAAGTGACGATGCAGCAGCAGCAGCAGCAGCAGCAGGAGCAGCAGGAGCAGCCGATACAGAAGATGTGGATGATCTGCTGCTGCTGAAGGCTCCTCTTCGTGTATGCAATGCGCATAGTGCCCCTGATGGTGTACATCATGGTTCCCTTCAAGCAGCAAGCTCGAGCTGGGCTGCTGCTCCTCCTCCTCCTCCTGCTGCTCCTTCTGCTGCTGCTGGTGTTGCATCTTCTGCTCCATGTGATGTGCAGCAGCAGATACAGTCAGCAGAAGAGGAGGACGACAGCGGAGGAGACTCCCAAGAGGAGACAATAAAAGCATCTGCAGCAGTAACTAAGCTGCGCATAAGTCTTGGTGGCGTCGTTGCAGGTACAGCAGCAGGAGCAGCAGCTGGAGGAGATGTGTGGTCATCGCCTTCGTTTGCTGCAGCTCGAGCTGCACGTTTGTTGGTATGTTTATTGGAGTCTAACGAGTTGCGTGCTGCGCTGGAACAGGAGCTGGTGCTGCAGCAACAGCAGCAGCAGCAGCAGCAGGAAGCAGCAGAAGCTGCTCGTTTAGAGGAGGCCATAGAAGCTGCAGAGGACCAGCAAGGGCTGGGGGGGTCAGAGGAAGTGCGAAATATGTATTTAGCAGTTGAGGCAGCAGAGGTGCAGCGAATGAAGGAGCAGCAGCAGCAGCTGCTGCAGCAGCGGCGGAGGCAGCGGGTAGAGGATCTAGATGATGAGGAGGTAGAAGAGCAGGAAGAGGTAGAGGGAGTAGAGGAAGAAGAGCTGCAGGTGCCACAGCAGCAGCAGCAGCATTTGCAGCAGCTGCAATCGGATGTGGAGTATCCTGAGTTGGCCCACGCTACACATTTTTCTCAGAGGCATAGGTTTTCGCAGCAGCAGCAGCAGCAGCAGCAGTTGCTGCTGCAGCAACAGCAGCAGCAGCAACTGCAGCAATTACGTGGTGTGTATCCATTACGAGGTTTTGCATATAGTGCCAGTAGAGGAGCTAGCAGCAATCGTGGTGGTCGTGGTGGTGGTCAATGGAGGCAACGTAAAGGGGGTTGTGGGGTATATAACAGTAGGGATCGTGGGATCGGTGGGATCGATGGGATCGATGATGTGGGATCGGAAGAGATAGAGGAAGCAGCACTATCTTGGGGATCGCATCCTCGTGCCCCTGAGGGAGAAGGGGAGCATTTAGTAGTAGTAGATGGTAGTAATGTAGCAATGAAGCATGGAGATACATTACCTCGTGACCGTAACAGCAGCAGCAGCAGCAACAGCAGCGGTAAGACATTCTCTACACAGGGTATACTAGCTGTGCTGCAGTACTATCAAGAGAGGGGTTATAAGGTAAGGGTATTTGTACCTGAATATCTACTTTCTTATACTTCTGTCTCCGAGGTAAGGAGACAAGAAAGGGCACAATTACCTGTTAATCAGGCAAGAATGCCCGACTCTATTGAGGCCCTTAAACAACTACAAAGACAAGGAGTACTTATATCTACACCACCACAAGATTATGATGATTGTTATTGTATTAAGGTAATTATCTTATTATTTATTTATTATTTATTATTTATTATTTATTATTATTTAGTATATTATTGTATTTCTTCTTTTTGTATTCTTATTGTATACGATTGTATTCGTTTGCGTATGTGTCGTTGTTTGCCTGCGTGCCAAGTTTTCTTGTTCTTCCTCTTTATGCATCTGTATGCCTCTTTCTTTCTCTGCCTCTCTTTCTCTGTCTCTCTCTATTCCTCTGTCCCTCTCCCTCTCCGTCTATTTCTTACCCTTCCTCTTTTTCTTTTCTTTCTTTCTTTCTCCAACTGCTGCACACGAAAGAATACTGCAATACAACACATATGTATTGGTTACATATATACGGAGAAACATACAAAAAAAGCAGTATATATATAAATACATAATAAATAATAATATACATATACATAATATAAATAATAATATTAATAATATATATGTATGGGTATATGTGTATGCTATTTCAGTATGCATTGATGCGTGGTGGCTGTATAATAACGGATGATATGTATCAATAATAACTAACTAACTAACTAAATAGATAAATAAATAAATAAATAAACAAATAACTAAATGAATAGATGTGTATCTTGTTTGCTGCTGCTGCAGTATGCCTTAATGCGTGGTGGTTGTATAATAACGAATGATATGTATCGTGATGTATGCTAACGTGTTGTGAATAAGACACAACAAGGAGCCCTGTATCTAAACAAACTAATAAACTAAATAAGTAAGTAAATAAATAAATAAATAAATAAATAAATAATGTGTGTCCTTTTGTTGCTGCAGTACGCATTAATGCGTGGTGGTTGTATAATAACTAATGATATGTATCGTGATGTATGCCAACGTGTTGTGAATAAGACACAACAAGCAGCACTCCGTCTTTGGCTAAAAAGACATGTTATTTCTTTTACATTTGTAGATGGATATTTCTTACCTAATCCTGAATTTAAATGGCCTACTAATCATCATCATAATACTGCTGCTGCTGCTGCAGCAGCTGCTGCTGTTGCTGCTAGTAGTAGTAGTGGTGGGGGGGGAGGGGGGGGGGGAGGAGGAGGATACCACTCCTTCTTTAAACAACCCAATATACATAAACCAACAGATACACAGCATGAACGTTAACACCATCATCTACTACTACTACCAGCAGCAGCAACAACAACAGCAGCAACAACAGCAAAAGCAACAATAAGAGCAGCAGCAACAGCAACAATAACAGCAGCAGTAACAACAACAATAACAGCAGCAGCAACAACAACAATAACAGCAGCAGCAACAGCAACAATAACAGCAGCAGCAACAGCAACAATAACAGCAGAAGCAACAACAACAATAACTGGAGGAGCAACAGCTGCAACAGGGGCAGCTGCAACGACAGCAACAGATGCAATAATACATGCAAACAACAACTGCAACAGCAGCAACAGGAGATATAACAACAGCAACAGCTGCAGCAACTGCAACAGCTTCTGCAGCATCAAAGAGACAGACACTAGGGAAGCTATCCATGCACTCGCGCCTTCCCCTACTATAGCATGCATATCATGCATGCATCGATGTTTATGAGTGGCAAACAAGGGGAAAATAAAGCCCCAAAAATAATGCAGGTCTTTGCTGCCTGGTGCATGCAGAAGGGGGAAGGGCCTCTGCAGTTTATATTTGATTTTCCTTCTTAGGGAAATACTGCAGGGGAATATGCCTATTATTCCTCTAGTAGCACCAGGGATTCAATATATATGTATATATGTATATTATATGCGTATATGTATACATATAGATATATATACATGTATGTATATACGTATATATACATATACATAGATACATATATACATGTATGTATACATGTCTATATGTAATCTATGTATATACGTACTAATATATATATATATATATATATTATAT